TGGCGGAATTGGGACAAGAGGCTGGTGTTGTCCCCAGAGCCCTAGCCCAGCCAAGCCAGCAAGGCATGCCGCCTCTGAATCTGCAGGGGCGAGGACATAAGTGTGGTGGACGGCGCCTGTCGACGGCAGAGCTGGGAACTGAACCCAAATCTCCTCACATCTTTCTACTCCCCCTGATGAGGGGTGGGCCTTGGGAACAGGGAAGAAGTGGGGCCTCGGACATTTCCAGGATACCCCTGTGCAAGGGAAGGCAAGACCGCTTCCAGGGAGGCTCAGCCTCCCTGGGAAATCTGTTTACCTTTAGCTTGTCCGTTGCAGCTCTCCCTGACAGGCCTTCCTCCTGTCCCCAGTTTCCCTTTGAGATGTGCATATGAGGGTTCGTGTTTGGGGGAAAAGGGCGTGGATGTGCTCAAGGATGCCCCAGGGATATCTGTACCTCCAGCCTTTCACATGGAGCCTAGCACATGGCAGACGCTCAGTAGATGTTTGATGAACTCACACCTGGGTGATGGAGCCCCTCTGTCTTTGCCAGATAGTGACCCTCTCCCACTCCAGGACAGTAAGGACTAAGGGTTTGGCTGGGAAACAGATGATCCAATTCATCTTCTTGGTTCAGATCCTCTTGAGCACCAGATTCAAAACCTGGGAGGCTCTAGACTCAGGAGGGACTGCTTCTCAGCTCTTCCAGGTGGCAGGTTTCCTCGATAGCAATCAATCATTCTCTAGCCTGAGCCGAACACTTCTGAGGTTTCCCTGACAATCCCAAGGAGAAGTATGTACTGACATCCTGGTGTATCTTTGCCCAGGAAAATGACTGCGTCCTGGGTGAAGTAGAGTAAAAGGAGAGTATTTTGATTGGATTTCTTCATCCTTTGGCAGGATAAAGCCTACTTCTTTTCCGTGGGCTGGGCATGTTGAGCCCTGGGGGCGGGGGGGGGAGCTGAGGACACCGCCCTGAAGGCCATGCTTGCAGTTTTCCTGTAAATGTGTCCCCACAGCCAGGAGGAGGGTGGTCTGAGGGTACCAAAGACCTGGCAGCATCACCTTTGTCTTCCAGGAGTTGGCTCTGCTGGTGAGAAGAGACTCAGTTAAGGCCAGCCATCCCAAGTGAAAGACACAATGGAGATAGAACATTTATGGAAATTCTCCACTGCAGGGTTTTTTTCCTCACTCCCCAACAGGAAACTATTCATATTTTTAAAATCTGGAAATGTATATTTATTCATTCACTGAAAACTGAAACTGAATGTGTGCTAAATGTCATAAGTCATGGGATCCTGGACTTCACCTTATCTTTTAGGTTCCACTGGGCTTTTGCACGGCAGCCTCACTCTGCATCTTCCTTTCCACCCAGGTCTGGGGCTCCAGATGTTTTCTCTTTAGCACCTGCTTTTTCTATTTACATCCCACTGAACCAGTGATTGGCAAGTAGTGAACTCATTGACTGGAAATCAAGTCTCTCCACTTGCTCACCCAATTAGCAGAAACCAATCTGTCTATTCGGGTATATTCTCTCTCTCTCTCTCTCTCTCTCTTTCTCTCTTACACGTAAACACACACACTGCAACTCAGAACAGAGTGACTGTTCCTTTGCAGACAGATGGAATGATGCTCCGAAAGATAATTTCATTCTGTTAGAGCAATACCAGCAAGGGAAGGACACTCAAATCTTCCAGGTTCCTGATCTTTCTTATGGACACGATCCCTCCTGGAAGAAGTTAAGAAGCAAGAGGATCAAGCACTATGGACTCCCCCACCAAGACCCCCACCATAAATCAGTTTCCAATCTAACCCCTCCCTGGGGGTTGAGTTACAAACCTCAGCAACCCCGGGGGCAGCCTGCCTGGTAATTCCTATTATTCAGCTGTCAGCTGGTTTTTTAAAAACCTCCCTTCCCAGTGATCCAGTTACCAGAGTTTTAGAGCCTATTCCTTGTCTCTGAGAGAAATCCTATAGCCAGGTGAAACAATGGAGAGGGTCGCTGCCTGCTTTCTATAGGGAGCTGGATTTTCTCTTCTGTTGAAAGCAGCCTCCCCTTAACTCTTTGTGTCCCTCCCAGATTGTTGGCGCCTTTCAGAGCAACTATGCCTTTCTCCAGGGACCCTCCTTCTACAGCCAGCATCAGTCAGCAGAGGAGAAAACAAACTGGGGCAAGGGGTGGGAAGAGAAAGAGAGAAAGGATATTCTCCAAAATAGATTGCTGCGTCCGCAGCTAGGGTGCTGCTGTCGGTCAGGGATTCAGAGCCCAGATCTCCAGTCAAGCAGGTCCTGACACTCCTGAGTCTGCCCTGTGCTGGAAGGGGAGGAATGGTCCAGAGGGAGGGATCCGCTTTGACAGTGATGAGAGGTGGGGAGTGAGGCTCCTGACCTCCCTGACCCCTTTATGCCTGACAGTCTTTTCTGGTCGCTGCAGCTCAGAAGGCTGGGCCCCTGCTGCTTGACCTTAGAGGCTGAGAGCGCAGGAGGCCGAGCCACTGCGTGTCCTTCAGAAACAGCCTGAGAGAGGCTGGGAAAGCCTGGGAGAGAGGTCTTAGAAGAAATATCACTGGAGGGTGTGACCCTCCTCCCATCTTGCAAACTATCCAGACCCACTAAGATGATCCCTTCTGCTCCCAGCCCCGTTCCCCTACATTGGTGATTTTTAACCTTTTATAGGGTCACAGGCCCCTTTGGGAGACTGTTGTAAGTAAGCTATGGAGCCACCCCTCAAAATATTTGTGTGAACCCACATACACAATTTAGCCAATTTCAGGGGTTCAGAGACCCTAAAGCTGAGGAGACCCTGGTGAGTCTGGCAAGTACATGGAGCCCAGGTAACAATTCTGCTCTACCATCTTCCTTACCTTGTGGACCCAATTCTGCCATGATGAAGCAGACAGCAGTTGCAGCTTGGAATGGGGGTGGGGGCTGGGAGGTGGGGAGGTGGGAGATGGAGATGTGGGGGTTGGGGGCGGTGAGGAAAATGAACATGACCTCTGCCCCCTAGGGCCTGTGCTGCCTGAGAAGAGAGATTCAGAGCTGCTCTGTCCTTCAGTTCATTCCTGATCCTAAGTAATACCCATAGTCATCACTGGTCAGCTTGAGACATCGGCCCAGGAGGAAAGCCATTCAGAAGAGAAGGATGGAAGGAAGGGGGGGAAAGAGGTCTGTGCCTGGTAAATGTGGTGAGGGCTCCCCAGTGCCCTGCGTGGAAGCTGGGCTTGGTTTCCTCATTTCCCCACATGTGGCATGAATGTGAGGTCACCCTGAGCAGGTGACACTCCCTCTTGGTCAAGCCTCCTGGTAAAATAATATATCTCCTTTTGGCTCCAGTACCTCTTTCTGGACATCCGTCAGCTCCTGGGGGACTGGGCTGCTGGCCAACCTTGACTCTCCCCCTCTTTCCCTTTTCCCTCTTCTCTGGACTTTGGAGATAGTGTTTTCCTGCCCTAGCAACCCCAGCCATCAGTCAATATGCCTGGTTGGCTCTCTTTCAGATGCGCTTTGAGGGAGCTAAGGAAAGAATGGTTAGGGGAAAAGGTGCTGCAAGGAGACTTCAGGCTCCTCTGGGCTAAGAGTCCCAGCTCCACTTAACTTAAATCTGTCTGAATTTACAACCAGAGAGAGCAGCTTGGTGGCCAGAGGACTGTCCGCCCCTACTATCACCGGGGTCAGGCCCATCACTGACCACCTAGTCTGTTGCAGGGACTGGCTCACTCTCCCTGATTTCTGGCTTCTTTTATCTTTCCTAAAATGCAGGCTTGGTCAAGTCACTTATCTTCTATAAAAATCTTTGCTGGCTCCCTTTTGCCTCCAGTACAGATTCTCCAGCCTGGCATGCAGGGACACCTATGTACTCTGACCTGAATCTACCTGTCCATGCCCACCCTTCCCAAATCCTGGGGTGCACCCAAAGACCCCTCCTCCAGCCTGCCCTGCTCCCAGGACAGATTGTCTAGTTCAGCACTTTATTCTGCTGCCCTAGGCCTGGGCTGCTTTATCTGGTCTTCCTTATTGAAAAATCCCCACATCCTTCAAGGCCCAACTCAAAAGCCATCTCCCTGAAGCTCTCCCCAACGTTTTGCGTTCTGAATTTTTCTGCACCTTCCAGCCGTCATTGTCCCTAAAAATTAACACATTTCATGCGGCATTCCGTTATTTTCAAATCTTCCTCCCCGAGTAAACTGTAGGCTCCCTGAGGACAGGCACCAGGTTTTTGGCTCCTAACCCAGTACCTGGCACAAGGTAGGTATTCTATAAATGTTTGTGAAATGGACTGGAGACTCCCTTACTGATAGTACACGATCTGCAGGACACATCTCTGAATGATGCCATAAACAGGATGGGTGTCAACTGCTCACGCAGCCCCTGCATTTTTTATCTTTCCTCTCCTCAGCCAGATACTTATTTCCTAAGTGTCCACGCCCACTCAAGGAGAGGACATGAGGGTCCCTTTGGATGTGTTTGATCTGAATGTCTCTCGGTAACAGCGCCAGACACACGTGTTCTCATGCTTCCTACAGATTTGCGCCGGAGTTCATTTCTGACCCGCTAGGCAGGTGGGAGGGTGCTTTGCCACCAGGCCGGGATCCACAAGGACCCACACCTTGCACTCGGTGGACGCGGCCCGCCCCCTAAAAGCTTGCGGCCTCCTCCCCTCCCTTTCTGGACGCTCCAGAATTATCAGGCCATTCCGGAGAAAGAGAAGACAAGAGTCACTTTGGCGCCCCCTCTCTCCCTTCTAATAGAGAGGACTCAGGGACTCTCCGGTCCTTCCCGAGCTGGCGTTAGGAACGGAACCTGCGCGGACTATGGCGCTCCAAATGCGTTTCTGACGGGAGCCGGAATTTCGCTCGGCCCCTTGCAATGTTTCCTAGGGAAGGTTCGTACATTCGTGACCGTCCCTGGCAGCCGCCCAGCCCGGGACTTGGGGCTCCACTCGCCATTGGCCAGCCGTGGGCGTGACGCGTCGGAGGCGGGGCCTCATCAGCTGTTTGCGGGATGCCCCGAGCGGGCGTATTTTGGAAACAATACCGCGCGGTGCACAGTGGCCTCCTCCCGCGCCAGCCAGCCAGCTGCCGCCGCCGCCCCTGCCCGCGCCTCTCGCCACCCGCCGCAGCCCGGTGAGCGCGCGGGCGGCCGGGGCCGGACGGAGTTGGATCTCACCTCCTCGGGGAAGTGGGGAGAGGAGTCGTGCTGCGCATGGGGGCCCGGGAAGGGTTGGGCTGCGGGCGTCTGGGGTGACCATGAAGGACTGGAGCGCTTGGGTGCGGGAACGGGGTGCAGAACCCTCATCTAGGTGCGCTGCTCCACGAGGGAACTTGGGGGTAGTAGCATTTCAGACAGCAAGGAGTTGGGTCCAGGTGGGCAGGGGAACCTGCGGTTCACTGCTGAGCAGACCTGGGCTCCCGAGAACGGCCCGGCCTCTGGATCTGACTTTGGGGTAGGACAGGGAGTTCTGGGGCGTCCGGCCTCCCTGCGGAGTCTGAAGGCTCCTCTCCTTAACAGCTGGGCTCTTTCCCTCCTTCCCAATTGAGTCTGGGCGCCAAGCCCCCGAGTGCTCGTCACGCTGGACCCTGGCGCGGAGCCCTGGCATCACGACTCGGAGGCCGAGACTCTCTCCTGGAGTCACCCAGGTCTGCTGTGTGTCGTGTGGGTGCGTGAGTGTGTATGCATGTATGTGTGCGTTCCGAGATTTTAACTCCTATCGAGGTTCAGAGTGCCTGGCTAGGCACTTCTCCTAGGAGGAGGAGTCTTAAGTTGAGCATCCCAGTTACAGCCCCTGGGGGCTGGGACGGCTCCAGCGGGCTTTGATTCCCCTTGCTAGGAATAAAGCCTTCCCAGGCTGTGCTCTCAAGAAGTGTGCTCCTCCTACCAGTTTGGACATCACCCCCTCAGCTCAGGCGAAGGGGAGAAGAGGGTCTCCTTACCGTATCCCAGTTTACACTTGACTTTGCCCAGCACCCCTCGGGAGGCTCCCACGTACAGAAGAGCCACCTGCAGTTCCTGTGGAGAATGGGTAGGGTCCCCAGGGCTTGCAGAGACACACCCTATGGCTGCATTTCCCCCACAGTCCAGTCCAGGCAAGGGTTGAACTTTGGGGCTTTGCTGGGAGGGGGAGGGGGAGGTGACCGGCTTCAAAGGAAAAACCAAGACAATGACTGCTGCTTGTGATTGGCTTTGGAGGGCCCTTTCTTAGGCTGGGATTGCCAGCTTGGGGAGAGAAGCCTGAAGGGCTGGAGGGGAGGCCCTGCCAGGTGACTGGCAAGACAGCACTTGGTCCTTTCAGCCGGAAACTTTGTTTCCTGGTGCTGATAAGCTGAAGATCTCCTACCCTCCTTTGGGAAACTCTTTCCAAAGAACACCATGTGCCTGTTTTGCCATCCAAGCAGGGGTCTCCTCACTCACCAGGGAAGAGGGCAGAGATGGGGTCATAGATAGCTCACGGACTAGTTGGGATGGAGGGAGGGTTGAAGCAAGCACCTCAGAGAGAGCTTGCATTTAGGGAAGCCAAGATTCTGAATTTAAGTGAGATGCCTTTAAGTACTTTACCAACCCACAGACCATTTCTCTTGTTTTTCAAAGGCAAGAGACTGGGAGACAGAATTCCCAGGGGATGTCTAATTGAATCTAGCAGTGACAAACAGTATCTCTCTGTATCCTTAACCATTCAGGTAGTTGCTCCTTCTGGCTGCCCCAGGGACTCTAACAGGTTCCTGGGGTGTGTGTGTGTGTGTGTGTGTGTGTGTGTGTGTAGGGGGCTGTGTTGGGAGCTCAAGATGCTGGGTGGCTCCAAGCTCAGATTTCCAAGAGCCATCAGGTGGAGCAAGAGGAACTTCTTTATGACCAAGAAACTTGTATCGACAACCTAAGTAGTACAGAGGCGGTGAGTGAGGTCACAGAAAGAGGGCTGAATTTCACTTCCTTCTGTGAGGAAGGTTACACCAGTCTCAGGTTCAACGCTGACAGGAATGCTGGGCTGTGGGGAAAGAAGATTGAAGTCATGGACACTAGTGAGTAGGCTGAGCTGGGGGAGGCTAGCCACATGCTGGATGTTGGACCTACCCTCTCGGCCAACCTGTGGTGGACAGACAGCTCTCCTCTGCTGGGATGGCAACGATTAACTTGGGTCTTTCTGCCCTCTCTCCCAGGACACGCTTACCACACCGTGGAGCCTGTTTGTTGTGTTGAGCAAGCAGGGGGGTGGAGACTACAGTAGATGGGCATCTGGGCGGGGCTTAGCAGGTTTGGAGGGAACCTGGCTGCCCTCTGATTGCTGGCTTTTGTTTTTGCTGCTCAGCTGGGAGCTCAGCTCAGGCTGAGAGGAGAGCTGGGTGGTTACTCCTCAGGGCAGTGAGTGAGTGTGTGTGTGTGTGTGTGTGTGCACTGTGTGTACAGCCAGTCACAGCACCCTCTGCCCTCCCTCAGGCACTCACAGGGTCTAGTCTTGTTGACATTTCCCCAGGTGTCCTGCATGCTTGTAGCAGTTGATCATACTCCTGCTATTGCTCAGAGTCAATAGCAGTCAGACTTCATGACCGGAACCAGCCTGGGTCAGAAGAAAAGGCCAAGGTGGGGGGTGGCTCTGGGAAGGCCCAGGGAAGAGGTGTGGCGCATCCTTGAACAGTGAGGCGCTCCTCACTGTTTGGGGTGGGTGTCATCCTTGGTAGTACTTTATCACCAGGTTATCTGCCCTCAGTACCTGGCCCCACTGCCCCAGGTAAGAAGGAGAAGCAGGACAGAAGAAAGGGGAGGGGCATCCTTCAGGTTTGGCCTGGGTAGGAGCGGCACCCCGGAGACCTGCTTTGCGCCCTAACAGGGGAGATGGAGCCGCCTCAGTGTGTGGAGGAGCTGGAGGATGATGTGTTCCAGCCAGACGACGGGGAGCCGGGGACGCAGCCCGGGAGCTTGCTCTCTGCTGACCTGTTTGCCCAGAGCCAACTGGACTGCCCCCTCAGCCGTCTGCATCTCTTCCCTCTCACCCACTGCTGTGGCCCTGGGCTTCGACCCACCAGCCAGGAAGACAAGGCCACCCAGACCCTCAGTCCGGCCTCCCCGAGTCAGGGTGTCATGCTGCCTTGTGGGGTGACCCAAGAACCCCAGCGACTCTTTTATGGTGAGTGCTCTTAGCCTCAGGACTCCTCCCATAGAGACTGGGGGAAAAGAGGGGACTTTCCCTCCTCAGACCTGTGCTTTGTTATTTCCTTCCCCAAATTAAACAGCAGGGGCTAGGGATTCCTCGACTCGTCACTCTTCTTCTTCTCTGCCTGTTACTGCTTTTCACCTGTGCTCCTCGGGCACCAAGAAAGGCAAGTTGCTATGCCATCATTTCTGCCTTTTTGTCCCCTTCTGCAGGGATCCTTGGGTCCATGTGCCTTTTGGGGTTGGAGAGAGGGTACCTGGGCCTTGGACTTTACATCCTGTGGCCCATTGTGTGGCCCAGGCTTTTGTGTCCTGGGAGTGGTATGCCTTCCATTAATTGGCCAAAGTGGCCCCGGAGAAGGTTGGGGGATCTGTGACTCGCTGTTGACACTGCAGGGAAAAACCCAGCCCTTTCTGGGAGGGAAGGTTCCTGAAGGCAGAAGGTGTCACTTGGGACTTTCTGTGCTCGGAAGGGGAACTGGAGAAAGAGGTTGGGCCTGCTGGAACTCAGTGCCGGCTGCAGGGCTGTTTCCAAGACTCAATCAGACAAGCCCCCCTGCATTTGTGGGTTTAAATGGTTTGTTTTATGAGTAACATGCCCTCCTCTGGCAAAGGGACAGGGTTAGACACTCAGTCTGCTTTCTTCTTTTAGCACAATAGCTTATGGAGGGGTGGGGGAAAGGTTCGGAGGCTGTCTTGCTGGGTCTGAGGTTGCCTCTTGAGGAGCCGCTGCAGTTATTCCTGGAGGGAGCTGCCTGGTACTTCCTTGGGGAGTCCGAGAAGATGGATAAGGCCGGCCAGCAGGGAAGAGGGAACAGAGGGAGGAGGCAGGCGGGCACCCCTAGCGGCAGCAAGCTTGCCAGCACTTGGGTAGGGTGCAGTGCAGGTCTCGAGGTCTTGCGGTCTGGCCTGGGGCTCCTCCAGAGAGGAACTTGGCTATCCAGTGGGTCTGAGGAGTTTTCTCTCCCTCTTTTTCATACCATTACCCAGAGCTTCAGGACCTGGGCCCAGCCAGGGGAAAAAGTGAAGGCACTTTTTGGTTTTCTCTTTCTCCCGCCTTGCTTTGCTCAACCCAGGAACTCTGGAGAGCTGCCTCCGGTGCTTTTCCAGAGAAGAGCTTCAACCTGCTACTGCATGAGAAATAAATAGTGGTCAAGCACAGCTTGGTGAATAAAGACCAAAAGCTGGCAAGTTCCCCCAAACATACTACTTTTGCCCCGGCACTGCCTGTGAAGGGACAGGGCTAGGACCATTTGCTCCCTCTGAACATCAGCTTTTAGATGCTTGGGCAGCCGGCAGGTCAGGCTGTCCAAATCTGGCAGCGTGCCCGATAAAGGCCTCAGGCCCCAGGGGTCAGCCAGGAGTGTTAGGCATGGGGTGGATGGTGCAGTTGAATGTTGAGATGTGGGCCCTCTGTCTTTGCAGGCAATGCTGGCTACCGGCTCCCTCTCCCGGCCAGTTTCCCTGCAGGCTTGCCCCTTGGGGGGCAGCCCCCTGAAGGGCAGTGGCAGCATCGAGCAGAGGTACAGATTGCCCGAAAGCTTCAGTGCATTGCAGACCAGTTCCATCGGCTTCACATGCAGCAAGTAGGCACGGGGCGGGGGCGGGGGGGGGGGCTTGGGGGGGGCGGGGGGAGAGTCTGCTGGGGCTGGGGGGCTCGGACCTGCCTCAGCAACTCTGTCTCTGCCAGGCCACAAGGATATGGTCCCAGGGTTAACTGGATGGGCCCAACTGGCTGAGCACTCTTGCCATCTCTGAGCTCCAAGTTGGTTCTCTGCCCTCTCTCAGCTCAGGCTTCCTAAGAGCGGTTTGTCCAGCAGTTTGTCAGGAAATGCTACCATCTCTTCTGGGGAACGGGGTGGCTTTCTGCAGCCTTGTTTGACACACTGTGTCTACTCGAGGCCAGGGTGGGAGATTGTCCCTTCCAGACCCAAGGGGAAGGTTTTCAGGGTGCCTCAGTGAAACCAGACGGTCGGTCGGGGGTGCCTGACATGAGGTGCAGTGGGAACCGGGTAACCAAGGCCGAGGGATGGGCCTGAGTGGGGGAAAGTGGTGGAACTGGTTGTAACCTGACACTTTCCAGCTGGGGAGGCTGCTCCTCATTGTCTCTGTCTGGGAAGCGGGACCTGGGATTCTGGAGAGTGTACCTCAGAGAGTCTCTCCAGACTGGCGGCTGGGCGCTTGGCCGGCAGCCTGGCACCAGCCCCGCCGGGGCGGAGCATCGCGTGTCAGTCGAGCATGTGGCAGAGTCCATCAACAAAGGCGGTGGCGGCTGGCAGGCTCGTGCTGGAGGAGCCCTCCGTGCCATGGGCTGGAGGCTGCCCGGCTCTGCAGCCGCTGTCTGGGCCAGCCCCCAGGCACTTAACCCTTCCTCTCTGGGCTGGCTTTTTGGATGGCTGCCAAGGCAGGGAGAGGAGCCCAAGGCTGAATCCGTGCTCCTACAACCACCATGGAAGCAAAGGCATGCCACCTGGAAATGAACACGGTTCCTACCTCGGGGACTGTCCTAGTGGGCTCTGTGTGTGTGTGTGTGTGTGTGTGTCTGGAATCAAGAGAATAAATAACTCATCATGGTTGGGCAGGCCCTGAGTTTAGATGGGTAACTTCAGGTGATCAGAGTAGGTTTGACTGAAGGGCCAAACCATTGCCAACACCAGGGGAGAGAGAAGTTGTCTTTTGGTCTCCTGAGAACAGACCATTGGGGGTTACATATGGTTAGTGCCTTCTGCCAAGGAGTTCTGAGGGAAATCTGGGCTAGACCTGGTCCTGGGTGGCTCTCCTAGTCCCTTAGTGATCTGGAAGAGAGGGGGGCCCTATGCTCAGGTAATAAGGCAGCCTAGCTTCCTCCATTGGTCCCTCGCTCCAGTCCCTAGTCCCTCCTTTGATTGTTATCTGGAAACTTGGCTTCGAGTCTCCCCTTCATTCCATGTGTGGACTTGCTCTGATTCTGGATTTCCGTCTCTTGGCCTCCTTCCTGCCCATTCACTCCAGCCTAGTTGTACAGGCCTATGGCTGACACCAGCTCACAGCTTCCAGTCCCGGTGCTGGAGCTGTTGGAGGGCACAGTGGCTGTGGGTCTCCTAGATTCATCTAGAGGACTGTCTGGAAGGCAGCTTTCTTCATTCCCAATAGACCTGATCTCCCTCAGCGGTTGTTTCCCAGAATATTCCTCCATCCATTGGTGAGCCCCCGTAGGCTTGGGAGCAGAGTGGGAGGACAGGACTAGAACATAGCCCAGGGCCCTTTCTTGATGACTCAGTCCTGAACGGGTGGAGACAGCCCTCATCCCAAGGCCTGACCCTGCTCATGGCTGCATCATTTTCCCCGGTCCAGGGCTGCCTTTTTGAGGGTATCTTTCAGCTATCAGCCAGAGCTACCCCAGCCTGGGAGGAGGGGCAAAGCAGCAGAGCCAAAGGAGAACTGGAGGAGAATCTCCCCTGCGATGTTCTGCACCTCACCCCCTACTGGCTCCCGAGTGCCCTGTGTCCCCATGGCCCTCACCCTCCGGCTGCTGTCTACTCCTACCTCACAGTGGTGGGAGGCTGGTCAGCTAAGCCTCTCTACCCCAGAGCTGGTTTTCCCAAACTTTCCATTACACAGAACCAGGCTTTTTGTCTGTGGAATCCTCTTGCTTTTAACCCTGCCCTCCGCGCTAGCCCTGCTCACAGCCCTTGTCCAGGAGCTCATCCTGCAGGAAGAGCCAGGATGAGGGCCATGGGCAGAAGGAGCACTGGCATGCAGAGGAACTTGTAGCAGCTAGCTTTAAGAAGTGAGTCATTTTCTGACTTTATTACATAAGCCACAGTCTAATATTTCGTATCTAGAAAGTACTGTTGTGACTCCTACATTCTTTTCTTTTCTTTCCCTATTCCCTTCCTTGGCAGGCAGGGACACTGAGGTACTAGGAAGGAAGGGGTTTAGGATTAGGTCTCTAGGCTCTGAGTCCAAAGTCAGAAGGCCCAGATTTAAATACCAGCTCTGCCACCCACTAGCCATCAGGAAGGCACTTGACCTTGTCAAGTCTAGCTCCTCCTCTGTAAATTAGAGCTAATACCACAGAATATTACCGTGAAGGTTAAGTGAGAAAATACCATTGAAAGTTCCGGGTACACAGTAGGTATTCTTTAATGCATGTTTCCTGTTGTCCGTCTAGAAGCCTGATCATCCCTCACATTTGTTCTTGTCAGTTCACCATGCATTTCCCACCCCTCCCATCAGGCTGATCCCGTAGCAGAGTTGCATCCCCTGAACTCCCCTCCACCTGCCCTGCACAGAGAAATCAGTGTCCAAGCTGTTCACTTGTGGGCCTCGGCCTTGTACATTTCTCCTCAAAGAATGATGATCAATCCCCCATCGATAATAGGCCGAGTTTAGGGAGCCAGGAAATACAACCCAAGAAGCAATAAGTTGTTGAGAGGGCTTGGCCATTTCCTTTCTCCTCAGATCTGGGATCTGGGATGGTGTCCCAAGGCCAGACAGTGGCCCTTGGTCCCTGAGCCCTGTAGGGAGTGTGAGCATTCACTTTTGGTCCCTAGTTAAGGACCTCAAGTAATTCTTTTTCTGTGTCAGGGGAACACTTCTTCCTAGGAGATGTGGAGCAGAGGCGTTGGGGGGTACCATGACAGGGTAGTGCGTTGTAGGATGGCATTATGGCCAATTGAGTGCATCAACATGACCCCCAATTCAAAAGGTTGCAAATCTTACTGGATGTTGGATCTGGATTTTTGCCGGCCACATACTTCCTAAGGAGCGTGCAGGGTGGGGGTCTAGCCTGGTTACCCGAGTGATCAGTTCAGGGTGGCTCCTCTGGATGGAAAGGCAAGGATTTGAAGGCAGAATATCAGTGTCAGTGAGGTGCTTTTTGTTGGCTCTTTGGGTCGCCAAAGCAGCAAGAGAGTTGGAGGCCGGGCATTTGGAGACAAAAGCCTTTCCCAACCTGGTCACACGTCCCACCTTCCTTTGACTGGGTCAGGAGTGGAATGGTCCCCCCCTTTTTTTTTAGATTTTATTTATTTATTTTAGAGAGAGAAAGAGTGGAGGGGCAGTGGAGGAGGGAGAGGGACAAACAGACTCTGCTCTGGGCACCGAGCCCAATACAGGGCCCAATCTCACGAACTGAGATCATGACCTGAGCTGAAATCAAGAGTCGGTGATCTGCTGACCAGGGCCTACCTTGACTCAGGTTCTGTGAAGATACCCTGGTATTTCTGTGTCTCACCAGCTTCTGCAGTGAAGAGGAGATACACGTTTGCTTCCTCACTGTGTTCATGAGCTGCTGGAGTCAGAAGGTGTGGGTTCTAATTTCTCTCCATTCCCCCTTCCACGGTCTCCTCCAGTATGGGCTTAAGAATGGACAGTGGCTGCTGTCCCCTCCTCTTAGGAATGTCTCCTATCCCAATGGCGCCATCTTGAAATTTATGGGGGTGTATTTCTGGGCAATGTTAAGAAGCCAAGAATCCTAAAAAAAAAAAAAAAAAATAGCCACTGTAGACCATTGAGTGAATAAAGCTACAAGCACATTGGAATTCCTTGAATTGGAAATGGCTTTTTCACTTGGATGGGGAGTGGCTTCATTCAGAATAGTCCGATTTGGAAATTCCCTGAGTAGTAATCAGACTTTCTGGAAAATGAAATCTGAGGAAAATGTTAGCCACTGACTAGAAACTCTCTTTTGTTGCAATATCACAGAAAGGATCCTAGACTTAAAGGCAGACCTGGGTTCAAATTTCTACCTCTGTCACTTATGAGTTCTCTGTCCATAGGCATATCATTTAACTTCCCTGAACCTCGATGTCTCATACTTACCTAGCAGAGCAGATGTGAAAGCCCAGTGGAGATTATAATATATATAACTATTAAGGTGTGGGCAGTTTAACACTTTGAGAAATGTGCCAAAAGATGATTTTAGGATTTTGCTTGGACCTGTCTTTATAGTTCTTAGGGAGCTCACTTGGAAGTTGTACCCAGAGTGGAGTTTACATCTGCCAACAGCCTGGATCCTTTGTTCAGGGGGCCTTGACTGCTTCCTGACCCTTTGGGATGCCCTCCTTGTTGCTGAGTGGTTTTGGGGGCTCAGACTGTGGCTAATGAGGTTGTTCAGACCCTAGATGTGGCAACCCTGGGCAGGAGCCCCAGAGATTCACCTTAGACTGAGAAGGTCACTGTGGAGCCAGCCTCTGTTCCAGCAGTGGGAGGTCTACCTAGGAGGGTGCCTGGGGAAAAGTGAGGCTGGGGGAGGGGCCGTGGAGGGCCGCTGTGCGTGAGAGCCAGGCCGGGGCTTGGGGGCCCTGTGTTTGCTCTGTGGCTGGCTCTGTTTATATCGCTCACTATATTTAGCTTCTGAGTCATCAGCGTGGCTGACTAGAGGCCGAGTTCCCCACACAACTCTGCACCTGACTACTCTCTCTTCCAGGAGAAGGGCCTTGTAGTTCCGGAGAGTTCATTCCCTCCTCACCAAGCTATAGGCCTTGGGGATGGGAGTTGGCTTTTTTTTTTTTTTTCCCCTTAGGGGAGAAGGGGGCTGATGGGAGGAGGGGTTGGGAGAGGCACAGGAAAGAAAGGATGAAGAAAAAGGTCTGGTTTGCCT